TAAAATATCTCCTTTTGAAGTGGACTTTGAACTTTGTAACTTTGCAGATCTTTTTATACTCAAACAGCAACATTACAGACTAACTAAAGTCAAAAATTGAAAAAGCATAAGAGGACTCCTTTAAAAATAAAACCGCCAATAGGTGGCGGCAAGTCGCTGTCTTAATGAGCCAGGCGTCGCGTCATTCATTAATTAATGCAGCAACTAAGCAAAATGCTGTAGTTATGAATGGGTTATTAATCACTGACTCTCCAAATTGTTCAAAGCCGCAGATTCATTCACTAATGAAACACCACTGTATGTTGTTTGGAGACGCACACCAGATGATACGGATTTCGTTGGAACTATTATTATTTCGTTGCAAAATAGAACAAACATGACAATATTCTGTTTAAAATGTAGGCTACATTTAAAATGTAAAATGTTCACTTAATATTACCTTTTTTTGTTGAAGTGTTGTAAAAATTAATGGCACATTTGCCATCATTTGGATATTAATGGCAATTTGCATTCTTGCTCGTATCTTAAACATGAAAACATTAACACGCACAGAGTGTGTCTGTATCAAAGCAGCATATTCAGTGGGCATCCTATCACATGCACGCTGCTTGTGTGGATGCAGTCAGTTTTGACCGCAAAAGATGAGGTAAGCTGATTGGATATCATGCATTTCACCGTTTACGGCACTCCCATTTTCCTGTTTTTACATTAGAGGCGGCATTTTGCTTGTCAGAAATACATGTTCAGTTTTAATGTTATTTTAAGTTGGGGTAGAATTAAATGAATGCCAAAACTCAGCATTTTGTTCACGTACCCCCCTCCGTCATCTCACGTACCCCCAGGGGTACGCGTACCCCAGTTTGAGAACCACTGACGTACACAATTATTTAAAGTATAAAACATTGTTATTTACAATACACAACGTGGTTTTTAATCATAATATTAGGGGGGACAACCCTCAGATGGGGGGGGGGGTCCTGTCCCCCCCCACCGACCCCCCCGGGATTTCTGCCTATGGCCATATGCATCATACGATCAGCCAGCGGTCCGTGGGCGTGACGTCTGAGGCTGAGACTAGGACCGCGAGATGCATCCATCCGGACCGCGAAGCCTTTTGATATAATGAAATAAATAATGCCAAACGCTGTTTTCTAATAAAATCAAATGTATATCAAGGTCAGCTCAGCCGTTTGGATCCTATGGCACCACAGGTTGCTACTACAGTTAACTGTTGCTACTTTCAGACCTGCGGTCGTGCGTGCAGCAGAGAGCGGCGCGCAGACAGATTAAACTTTCAGTGAGTGAAAAACAATAGCATTCTCAAAAATTAGGAAAGTTGACGGGCCCTTAAAAAGTCTTATAAAGTCTTACATTTAGTTGCATCAAATTAAAGGCCATAAAAAGTCTGAAATGGTACAAGATAGTTTTAATTATGATTTCAGGAGGTCTTAAATTTGGGGATGGAAAGATAAGAATTGCGATACGGCTTAATGTGACCATTAAACTTCAAAAGGCTGTGATTTCATTGAATAAACATGAGCGCTGCACGTTTCAAAGTCATATGCTGCACTGCTTTGTGTCCTGCCGTTACTGGGGAAATGCTATATTTCTGCCATTCCAAAAGCGCCTCCTGCTTTCAGAGAATGAATTTGCATTTTCATTCAGCTCGTCTGCTGTTTTTGTTCAGACCAGTGTGAAAATGTTTTTACGCAGTAAACACGGAGAGTTGTAAATGTGAACCAGTGGATCAACAAGAAGATAATGCAATGCAAAAATTTAAACAATTAAGACAGTAAAATATATTTGTATGTTAATTAATATAATAATTGACTGATAATAATTCAATTATAAATTATAATTATAATTATAAACATAATAATTTATATTTTCGACTCCATTTTCTTAAAAAAATTGTTTAAAGGCTGAAATGTTAAGTTTATAATTTTATAAAACTTTTTGTTTCTGTGAAAACCTGCATCTGAACTGTAAATCATGCTTTTTACAGTCATTTTAATTTTATTTGTGCAGGTCTTAAAAAAGGTCTTAAAAAGTCTTAAATTTGAGCTTAAATATCCTACAGATACCCTGGTCTGGCAAAAACCCTCAATTCATGTTTTTAGGTATTTAATTGTCTGGACCTCGACTGGTGAGGAGGGTTCATTACTGGACCTCAAGCTATTTTAGTTGAAGACCCCTGCTCTAAAATATCAAGAGTTCAAAACAGTAAAACTTTGAGAATGTCTAAATATATATCCAAATCCACAACTTAATAAAAATAAGTATTTATGTCTAAAAACAACTAGAGAATTTATAAGCCTTTTTATATAGAGCTATATAAGAATCTAGTGGCTAAGCCAAGAAATTGCAGATGTTTTTCTTTTTTTACTGCCACCAGATGGCCCTAATCTGCCTTCAAAAATTGGATTTTAAAGGCATTGTCTCTATTTTAACATGAAATACTGCCATAATTGAAAAGTAATATAAAAATATTAGATTTTTTTATTATTATTTTCAATGGGAAAAAAATGATCATATTCATTGCATAAATATTCATTAGTACCATGAAATTCTGTCAAAATACAAAATAAAAAAAATACAACACAAGTGTGACACCCAAATGAACAATACTAGAGGGTTAAATGACAGCAGCATAATATACAGTACCTACTGCTGTCTATGCTGTTAATATTACCCAAACAATAAAATAAAAACAGAAAATCACTCGCTGCTCTTGACCGAATAACTTCTATAGCTTTAATAAGAAGACATTTCTTACTTGATGCTCTAGCGTGAAGATAAGCATGGTGGATTGTGTGCGGCTCACTCAGTGCGGGCTCTCTGCTAATACAGTGTTAACAGTGTCCGTCAACAGTAGTAGGCGGGGCCTGTACAGTGTGATGTCTCATTTTACAGATTACAGAATTTTGCATGATACGTGCCCTTTAAATACTCGCTTCCCGTCAATTTTGCATCTGAAATTGAAACTCCTCTAAGTTCAGCCGCAAAAATAACCGTATTCACGCCTTTTTAGTACTTTTTTTTTTTCACTGCACGTCTTTAGTAAATCCTGACAATAGTTTTTTTTGTTTTTTTTTTAAAGCCAAAATAGGGTTTGCAGTGGTGCATGCTGCCAGTAAATGCATCATACACTTGCTGACTTTGTAAGTGGTTACAAAGGAAAAACTGGGCATCATATACTGAAAGACTGAGGATCACTCACTTCCAGACTTTTAAGCCATTCTGAACACAACAAACTCACAAAGAAACACATGCCTTGTTGCTTCCCTCTCGTCTCGCCCCTGTGATTCTGTCTGCCGATCGGTGACCTACGCTAGCCCTGGGACTATTCTTGTGTTTTGCCCGCCATATACCTGTTTGCCATTGTTTGACCCTGCCTGTTTACTACGTCTCTTTAATAAAGCCTGCAGATGGATCCACACGTCTCACGTCTCGTCAGCCCCGTTACAATATTAGCCAAACAATAAAATAAAAACAGAAATCACTCACTGCTCTTGACCGAATAACTTCTGTAGCTTGAATAAGAAGACATTTCTTACTTGAATGCTGCTTTTAAATGCTCTAGCATGAAGATAAACATGGCGGATTGTGTGCGGCTCACTCAGAGCGGGATATACGCTAATATGGCAGTGTCCATCAACAGTCATTGGTAGGGCCTGTAAAATGTGACGTCACTTTGTGCAGGTTCTGCAAACGGCTTGTTCTGAGACACTGCTTATGATTTATGGGGATTAAAAAAAGGAGTGGGTGGATTTTTATCATTATAGGGTGGGTGTGTTCACACACTGCCAATACACATTTATGTCCAAACACCATGTAAAAGTCAATTTTGCATAACAGGGGCCCTATAAAGTTGTCTGATTGTACGGTCCTACTCATGACATTGACTTGTTTAATACAACAAATACTTGAATTGTTAAGTGATAAATCATTAAATTATACTTCATAATATAACAATATGATTTTTATGGGCATTCTTCTCAAGATTTAGAAGTTTTTTCTGAAGAATTAATCCTTTAATTTAAAATTGTACTTAAAGGCACAATATGTAAGATTTTTTTTATTAAAATATCCAAAAACCACTAGAACAGTGTTATATATTTTGCTGACTTGTGTACTTACATTATCCCAAATGTTTCGAAGAATGTTTAAATCCAGAGAAATAAGCAATTTTAACCAGTGACACGGAGCGTGTCCATAGTGTCATTGTGTCGCCTGCCAATGACGTCATAACCCCTCGATTTTGTTTTGTTTTGTAGAAAACATGGAAACACCAAAGACACTTTAATATGTTGTGCTTTTTTTTTTTTAGACAGGTGATGACCGCACAGAGTAGCATTATAACATAACTTTCAAACGTATCTAGTATGATAAAACAGCGCTGCTTTACCCCACATACGCACGACCGGAAGGAGCGTAAGCGCTAAAGTGTGGCATAATAAAAGCTCCGCTGCTTTCGAGCTATGTGTCACTCTTGTCTCTCATTAGCAATTGCTTCAGCGGCCTCGTTTCGCTTCGACGGCTTTCCGCCTCACTCTGCTTCATAGTATACTATGATGTTAATAAATCTTTAATACATGAGTCCCGTCGGATTGTGTCGGCTGTGGGGATGAAGACGACAACTCCCATGATTCCACACTCAGTCACGGCGTCATCAAACTACACCTTTGTTTCTTTGTTTGTTTTGAAAACTTACATATTGTACCTTTAAGGCGTATTGGGAATAGACAATATTCTTAACTTTTTTTTTCTCAAGTTACAAAATAAGGAGAACAAAATAGTTTTATTCTTAATGATGTGAATCTGGCTGCAGATCTCTGTGGAGATTATAAAATGTATAATTATCTTCATGAACTCTAGAGACTGTCCATAGTTCCTCTAGTAACACCATCATTTTGGAAAGCCTTTAAGGAGCTAGAACAACATATTGAAGTTCCTTGTGAACAATATTATATTTGAGGTTCAGTCTTTCATATGGAATTCCAAACCTGGCAAAATCCCGTGATATAAGACTTTGGCCATATTGTCAATCTAAGTCATTCATCCCACTATCAACAGTCCCGTCATGTAGGCTACACTTCTTGTATTTTGTTTGGGCACAACACAAGGTGTCACTGTGGCCTCAAAGCTTACAACTGGCTCGATTACTATTCCTGAGGTAAAACATGCCCTCCTCATTACCCTACGGACAAAGAAATGCAGAAATAAAGAAATGTGAAAATAAAGAAATGTAGAAATAAATAAATGTGAAAGTAAATAAATATAGAAATAAATAAATGTGAAAGTAAATAAATATAGAAATAAATACAAAAATGTGGAAATAAATACAAATTTTTTTTTTTTTTTGCTTTTTTACATTTCTTTGTATATTTATTTATGTATTCATTTATTTCTAATTTTGTCAGGTTTGGAATTCCATTCAGCCAGAAGAATCAGAAATGGAGCCTCAAGTTTCTTTTCACTTTTACACTGTTGAGTCTGTTCTGGACTTGAGTAGATTTAAGAAACAAGAAACATTCTCAAAAAATAGTTCATTATATTCCAGAACTAGTATGATCTTCACTTACTACCAACTGAAAAAATCTAGTAGTTTTGTGTCATTATAAACTGTATGTGTGCGAGCACAGATGTTCTCCAGACTCACTGTTCTGGACGATGTCCTGCATCTTCATCCAGACTCTGAAGGGCAGGTTGCCCAAGTAACGCGGCACATCAATCAAAGCTCCAGAAGGCGTCTGTGGATCCGGCTGTGATGAGATCTGGACTCTGGAAGAACATTCAGGATCAGAACTGCAGTGGCTTTGGATCAGAAGCAGAGAGAGCAGAGACAGCAGCAGATCACTCACCTTTCCATTGAGACTGGAAACTCCTGCAGAACAAACACACAGTTTATCATCAACAACTCAATCAATCAATCAATCAATCAATGATCTGAAATCAGACCTTCAGAAAGCAGACGTCACTGGCTTTCATCATCTCCTCCATGTCTCTGATTGAGTGTGAAAGAGCTGAGATGTCTCTGTTGAGCTCCTCCAGCTTCTCCTTCATCTTCTGCTTCTGCTCCTCTTCCTCCCTCAGTGCAGTGATTGTAGCTTCTTCTTCATCTCTGAGAAACTGATGAAGCTTCTCAAACTGCTGTTTAATCTGACGCTCCGTGTGATCAGCTTGAGACTGAAATCAAATCACATTCACTTCAATCATCTCAATCGAGAAATATTCTGAGATCGGAGATAAACCCAAATACAGGCATGTTGCTGCTTGTCATTGAAATAATAAACTGGAATCCATTATAATAAATATAACAAATCATAATTGTATGTAGTGATCCGACAGCTGTAATGAAAATGACTCTTGATTCTGTTTCTTCACCTTGATGTGTTGAACTGGTTTCTCAAATTCTCCTTTCATTTTTTCATTGTTTTTATGTTTCTCTTGTAAGGACTTTAGTGCTGTATTCACCTCCTCCTAAATTGAAGAAAAAAGATATATATATATATATATATATACTTTAAAAAAAACAAACAGATAATAGTAAAGAGGAGAACAGAATACTATACATCATACAGTGCTGGGAAAAATTATTTGTCCCATCCTGATTTCTTTTGTCAGAAATTAAAACATAACATAAAACAAAGTCAATATGAGTAAACACAAAGTACAGTTTGTAAAAAGACAATGTTGCATATTGAATCAAAAAAGTTATTATGCCAAAGAAACATTGTCCAGAAATAATGAGGATGAAGGTGATTAAAATGTATCAGTCTGGGAAGGGTTACGAAGCTATTTCAAATGCTCTTGGACTCTACAGAACCACAGCAAGAGCCATTATCTCCAAATGGAAACAACTGACCGTAGCTAACTTTCCCAGAAGTGGCTCATCCAAGAAGTTACAAAAGAGCCAAGAACAACATTGAAGGAGACCGTCTGATCTTCTGTCTGTAAATTGAAGCTCAAGCTCAGCTGGATTACGCAACAAGACAATGATTCAAAGCACAGGAGTAAATCCACCACTGAATGGCTCAAAAAACAAAACAAAAGCAGAACTCAAGTTCTGGAGTGGCCTAACCAAAGTCCTAACTTGAACTGAGATGCTGTGGGAACATTATTAAACAGGCAG